GGGGGAGGGGGGCGGGGGGAAGCAGCGGCGGTGAAGCAGCGATGCGGCAGCGGTGGAAAGCAATGCAGCAGCAGCGCAGCAGCAGCAGCACAGCAGCAGCGCAGCAGCAGCAGCACAGCAGCAGCAGAGTATATGGGTGTCAGGGAGAGGGAGCTTATTATCGGGGCTGCAAAGGGGGCTAGAACGAGGCTCGAATGACGGGCTAGAACCCAGGGTTTGGGGTTTAGGGTTTAGGGTTTAGGGTTTAGGGTTTGCACCTGCACAGACGGCGCAGTAGGTGGAGTTGTTGAGGAGCTGGACGCAGTACAAGTCCCACATGGAGGGAAAGGCAAAAGCAGCAGCAGCAACAGTGAAGAGAAACATGTGGAGACAAATCAGCAGCAAAATCCACCAGCGCACGGGGTTGTGAATGAGGGGGGCGGGGCCCCCCCCTGGCTGCTTCTTGAAGAGGTACCGCAGCATCATTTTCGCTGCTGCTGCTGCTGCTGCTGCTGCTGCTGCTGCTGCTGCTGCGCTGCTGCTGCTGGCGGTGGCGTTTGCGGCGGATCCGGCTGAGGCCTGGACGCCGGCTGTGGATCCTGAGAGGCCCTTGAAGTCTATAAAAGGCTGCTTCACTTCATGCTGGCCCTGCTGCCGCCGCTGCTGCTGCTGCTGCTGCTGCTGCTGCAGCTGTTGCTGCTGCTGCCGCCGCAGTCGCTGCCGTGGCTCGGCCTACCCTGTTGCATCTAGGGTCAGCTTCTCAAGCCCACAGGAAAATGCTTTCATCTGCGGGTGAGAAGGCCAGAGAAGGACAAGACGAAGACTACTCAGCTGCTGCAGCTGCTGCTGCTGCTGCTGCTGCTGCGGCAGTCGGGCGCGGCCTTCGTGGCTACTCGTCACAGCTACACTGCAAAGAATAAGCCCACAGATACACACAATATTATCATTCAGTGTAGAAGATGAGCCACTGAGCTTTTCTGCTGCTGCTGCTGCTGCTGCTGCGGGTCTCCCGTGCGGGCCACTCTCACAGCGGCAGGGTCCTGGGCTTGCTGGATGATCTCGCGGGGAGTTGTTATCAGCGTTTAACATTTAGAACTTGTGGTTTTGTTTGTCATGTTTGAGAACGAGCTGCTGCTGCTGCTGTTGCTGCTGCTGCTGCAGCTTCAAGGTGCCCAGCAGCACCTCGCTGACCACTCCTCTGTCTGGCCACTGGTTGTCTCTTAGCCTCTCTCTCCGGGTCAAATGGCTGTTCACTTGGCCTCACTCGCTGCTCAAACCCTAAACCCTAAACCCTAAACCCTCCTGCGTCGCTGCAGGGGCTCTTCCACCGCGCGATTCGACAGACACGGCCGTTGCCGCCGCTGCTCTGCTGCTGCTGCTGCCGCAGCAGAGCAGCAGCAGCAGCAGCTTTTTTACATCCCCCCTGACTGCCATGGCGCGCAAGCGACAGGAAGAGGCTTAAAGGGGCTCTTAGGCTTCGGGGGCCCCCCAGGCAGCAGCAGCAGCAGCAGCACGGCTGCTGCAGGCGTCGATAGGAGCCTTCAGCAGCAGCAACAAGCGCCGCTGCAGCAGCCGTTGCTGCGGCCGCAGCTGCTGCAGCTTCTGCAGCAACCCCAAGGGCAGCAGCAGACGCAACAGGCCCAGCAATGGCTTGCCTCTCCCAAGACCTGCAGCAGCAGCAGTGGCTGCCGCTGCCAGCCCCCATAGAAGACAGAAGAGGGGCAGTACCCTGTTTTCAGTACCACTCCCACACTGTGGGGGCCCTGGGGCCCCCCGAGGGCCCCTCAGGTGCCCTGGGCGAGGCTGGGGGGCCCCTGGGGGCCCCCCCGGCTCAGCTGCTGCAGCAGCAGCCGCAGCAGCCGATCCTCGAGCCTGCGGGCCGGATGACCCAGCAGCAGCAGCAGCCGCAGCCCGTGATGCTGCAGCAGCAGCAACGCCACCAGCAGTTCGTGCTGCCGCAGCTGCAGCACGTGCAGCAGCAGCGCCACGTGCATCCGCAGCCGCGCATGCAGCAGCAGCAGCAGCAGCAAATCATGCCGCAGCAGCCGCTAGCACTGCCCGCTGTTCAGCAGCACCAAACAGTCCCGCACGTCCCGCTGCAGCAGCACGGCTACATGCAGCCGCCGCAGCAGCAGCAGCTGCCGCAGCAGGTGCAGCAGCAGGTGCAGCAGCAGGTGCAGCAGCAGATGCAGCAGCAGATGCAGCAGCAGATGCAGACCATCCCTCTGTTGGCGCCGCCCCACCACCTGCTGCAGCAGCACCAGCAGCACCCGCCCCACCTTAGCCACTTTCCTCGGCAGCAGCAGCAGCAGCAGCAGCAGCAGCAGCAGCAGGCCCCCAGCCGGTCTGCTGCTGGCAGCATGCAAGGGCTGCTGGTTGCTGCTGCTGCAGAGCCCCCTGCACAGGGGCCCCCCAGCCATGTGGGGGCACCTGCCCATTCAGTAGTAGATAGGGGGGCCCCCGGTGACCCGGGGGCCCCGGGGGCCCCAGGGGCCCCGGGGGCTTCAGGGGCCCCGGGGGCCCCTGGGGCCCCGGGGGCCCCTGGCGCCCCGGGGGCCCCTGGGGCCCCGGGGGCCCCTGGGGCCTCGAGGGCCCCCGGGAGCTGTGGGGCCCGGGGGGCCCCCGGGGGCCCCAGGGGCCCCGGCACAACGGGGGCCCCCACAGATCGAAAGCGCAAAGCGGCATGGAAGTCCCCAGCCCCCAGGTGGAAGTCCTCAGCTGCTGGGGAATCTTTGCTGCTGCCCCAGCAGGTGCAGCAGCAAACTGGCCTGCAGCAGCAGCAGCAGCAGCAGCGGCTGCTGTTGCAGCAGCAACAGCAGCAGCAGCAGCAGCATCTGCAGCAGCCACGGCAGCAGCTGCTGCATGATATGCCTCCCTCTCTAAACGGTGCCCAGCCGCTGCTGCAGCACGCGGCCCAGACTCAGCCGCAGCAGCAGCAGCAGCAGCAGCTTCACCAGCAGCAGCTGGACTTGCCTCAACAGCAGTTCCAGCAGTCGCTTTCGGTGCAGCAGCAGCAGCAGAACATGCAGCAGCAGCGGGAGCAGCAGCATATGTTACCGCCGCAACAGAGGCCACAGAGTCTTGCAGTGCAGCAGCGGCAGCAGCAACTTCCACCGCTGCAGCAGCACCAGCTGCAGCAACAGCTGGTGCTCCCGCTGCAGCAAACGCGACACCCCAACGGAATAGCTCCGCCGCAGCAGCAGCAGCAGCAGCAGCAGCAGCAGCAGCAGCGGTCGTTGGGTCAAGCAGAGTCTCCCTTGCACCGCAGGGGCCAGCAGCAGCTGGAGGTGGGGCGTCAGCTTTCAGCGTCTTATCGTGCTGCTGCTGCTGCTGCTGCTTCTGCTGCTGCTGCTCCTCAAGCTGGCCTGAGTGGCGACATGCAGAAGCGGGCGCAGCAGCTGCAGCAGCTGCAGCAGCTGCAGCAGCTGCAGCAGGCTGCTGTGCTGCTGCAGCAGCAAGAAATGGACCTCTCGCTGCGGGAACTCGAATCTGTGTACTTGCCGCTGCTCTGGAGCGACGGCGCTGCAGCAGAGAGGGGCAGCAGCTGCTGCGCTGCCAGCAGCAGCAGCAGCAACAGCAGCAGCAGCAGCAGCAGCAGCAAGAACAGCATCTCAATGGGCACTGTGCCTTTAGATAAGTTGTTAGTTTTTAAAAGAGAAAGAGGAAAGACTTTCAGCGCTATGGGGGAAGGCCAGTGGGCCCCCTGGCCTGTGGGGCATGAGGACTCTCGGTGTTTGCTGCTGCAGCAGCAGCTGCAGCAGCTGCAGCTGCTGCCTGCATCTCAGTGGGACCCGCTGCAGCAGCAGCAGCAGCTGCAGCAGCTGCTGACTCTCTGGTGCAGCAGCCACACGGAACCCTCGGGGGGCCCCAGGGGGCCCCTCCAGTTAGAAGCCAAAGCAGCAAGTATTCTTAAACTCCCAGCCCCCAGCTGCTTCTCTTTGCAGCCCCAAAATGGAATGGTACCTTTTGTTTGGAGGCCCTTGGGGGCCCCCCAAGGGGCCCCCACAGGGGCCCCCCAAGGGGCCCCCCAAGGGGCCCCTGCAGGGCTTTCAGCAGGGGCCCCCGCGGGGGGCCCCCCTAGGGCCCTTCACACACCAGCCGAAGGCTACGGCGCTGATGTGTGCGGCCAAACGGGCCAGCAGCTGCAGCAGCCGCAAGAGCTGCAGCAGCAGCAGCAGCAGCGGGACCCGCAGCAGCATGAAAGGGGAGAGATCCGGCGGCAGCAGCAGCAGAGGCAGCCGCGGAAGATACAGAGGAAGCTCTCTGGGTTGCAGCAGCAGGAGCTGCAGCAGCACACACAGCAAGACCACGCGCTGCAGCAGCAGCAGGAGCTGCACCAACAGGAGCAGCAGCTGCAGCAGCAAGTGCGGCAGCAGCTGCAGCAGCAGCAGCACTATGCCGTGGGTTGTGGGGCCCCTTCCGCTTCTCTTGCAGGGATTTCAGGGGCTGCAGCTGCCACTTGTTGCGGCCCGCTTCAAGTATGAATTGTTCTTTCTGTTTGGAGCAGCAGCAGCAGCAGCAGCAGCAGCAGCAGCAGTAGTAGTAGTAGTAGTAGTAGCGGCCTTCGTGCGATTTGCCCCTGCAGCAGCAGCAGCAGCAGCAGCAGCAGGAGAGCATCGCAGGGGCAGAACTAAAGCAAGCGTTTGTTGACTGCGAGGGAGACCGAATGCAGCAGCTGCTGCTGCGCCTAAGCAGCAGTTGCTGCTGCTGCTGCGTCACCGACTCTTTACATTTGGCAAGTGCAGCAGCTGCTGCGCCGCAGCTGCATTCACCGGAAGCAAGGCAGCAGCAGCTGCTGGGGTGGGTGCAGCAGCAGCTGCTTCGTCGACGCAGCAGCCGCTGCAGCAACTGGTGCAGCAGCAGCTGCTGAAGTGGGCAGCTGCAGCGGCTGCTGCGGTGGATGCGGTAGGGCTACTGGTGTGAGTGCTGCGCGTGCTGCTGCAGCAGCAACAGCAGCAGCAGCAGCAGCTGCTGCTGCTGCTGCGCTGTACGTACAAGCGGCCACAAACGGGTGTGAAGCGCCGTTCACCTCCAGGTGCCCTTGCAGGGGCCCCTAGGGGGCCCCTAGGTAAGGGGGGCCCCCAGGTTAGGGGGGCCCCCTGGTGGGGGGGCCCCCAGGTTGGGGGCCCCCCGATTTACTAGGTTTGGGGCTGCATGCAAATTGGCCAGTGCGACTTTGCGCAAGTGGCTGTGCGCCACGAGCTGTCTAGACACCCGAAATTTGAGGCGTTTTTGAATTGTTGTTGTCAATCCAAAGAAACTGAACAGCTGCTGCTGCAGCCGCAGCTTTGCGGTTGCTGCTGCAGCTGCTGCAGCACGAGCTGCCGCTGCAGCCCCAGCTTTGTGGTTTTGTTGCAGCTGCTGTGACTGCAGCTGCTTCTGCTGCCCCAGCTTTGTCGTTCGTGCTGCAGCTGCTGCAGCTGCTGCAGCTGCTGCAGCTGCTGCAGCTAGGGCTGCTCTTGCAGCCGCACTTTTGTCGTTCGTGCTGCAACTGCTGCAGGTAGAGCTGCTGCTGGTCGCGTAGCTTTGTCGTTCGTGCTGCAGCTGCTGCAGCTGCTGCAGCTAGCAGCTGCTGCAGCTAGGGCTGCCTTCGCAGCCGCACTTTTGTCGTTCCTGCTGCAGCTGCTGCTGCGCTGCAGCAAGGAGCAGCACTGCCGCCGGAAGAACCCCACAGATTTGTAAAGCTTGCCTGCCGTACTTGAATTGTGACGAGACCTCACTGCTGGCAGTAGCCACAGCAGCAGCAGCAGCAGCAGCAGCAGCAGCAACAGCAGCAGCACAGTTTCTCACTGTCTTCCCGCGAGTAGCAGCAAATATTAGCTTCCAGAAGAAATAGTGGGGGTTTATACGTGCTGTTGGCCACAAGGCAGCAGCAGCAGACTGCCTATGCGCAGCTGTCAAGGCCCCCAGTGGCTCTGCGGCTTGCTGCAGCAGCAGCAGCAAGCAGCAGCAAGCGGCGGCAAGCTCTTGCTGCTGCAGCAGCAAGCAGGGGGAGGATCGGCCCCTTGCTGCTGCTGCTGCAGCAAGCGACAAGGCTCGCTGCTGCTGCAGCAGACTGAAGAAGCTAGAAGGCACATCCTCCCATGAAGCAGCAAATCAGCAGCACATCTCTTGGCCATTCCACTTGCTGCTGCTGCTGCTGCTGCTGCTGCTGCTGCCTGCTGCCCACGGGGGCACAGCGACCTACTTCTTTTGTCTAACTTGCATGCATGCAGCATACCTTATTGGACAACTAAGGTATGTATATATTTATATTTAAATGTATATTTTATATTTAAATCCATATATAAATATATATATATATATATTCATTTCATCATATATATATATATAGAATAGCGCATATATGTAATATAATGCAAATATATGAAACTGTACAAATATATTTATACTACTTAGATGTATACGTAGATTTTGTATATAAATATGTATATATATATTCCGATATGTTTATATTATAGATAGATATATATATATAAATATATATATATATATTTGTATATATATATATATATAATATATAAATTCTAATATATTTATATTATAGATATGTGTGTACGTAGCTTTTGTGTCTTCGGCATATTTGTGGCCACTTCATAGTGCGTTGCATTGCATGCATGTGCTGCCACTCATCTGTAAATATGAAAAATAGATATTTGGAAATATGAATATGAATATAAATATAAATATAAATATAAATATAAATATAAATATAAATATAAATATAAATATAAATATAAATATAAATATAAGTAGAAATATAAATATAAACAAATATAAATATGAATATAAATAGAATAAGTAGGGCTTTATATGAGCATGTATCTTTTAGAGAAGTATCATTTTCCAAAGCGGCCGAGGCCACCGTGACACTGTAGCCCAAAGCTGCTGCTGCTGCTGCTGCTGCTGCTGCTGCTGCTGCCTGTCCTTGTGGGACGGGCTGCAGCAGATGAGAGGTGTTCTCTGTGGGCCTCCGCGGGGGCCCCAGCGACGCCAGCAGCAGCAGCAGCAGCAGCAGCAGCAGAAGCAGCAGCAACAGCAGCAGCAGCAGGAGGCTATCCACAGAGCAGCAGCGGAGGCTGCTGGGGCCACAAATGCGCAGCTGGCGCCGGCCAAACTCTCCCTTAAGAATTAACAGTTTTGCTTCTTGCTGCTGCCTTTTTTATTTCTTTTAAAAGCCACTTGAGGCTTTTTTTTGGAGTTTGTTGCTGCTGCCTTTTTGCTTTTTTCTAAAGACCATTTGAGGCTTCACTTTTAGCCCTTGCTGCAGCACACAGCACGGCTAGCGCGCCAGCAGCAGCTGCGTCCTCCTAAATTTGCAGCAGCAGCAGCAGCAGCAGGCACCCCTCTTTAATCTGCAGCAGCAGCAGCAGCAGCAGTAGCAGCAGCAGTAGCAGCACACGCTTGCCGGCACGCTGCTGCAGCAGCAGACTGCAGCGGATTCAGACAAGTTTTAGACTCAAAGAAACTTGCTGCAGCAGTTTTGCTGCTTCGTCTGAGAAGCAGCAAAACAGCTGCAGCAAGTGCAGCAAAAGCTGCTGCTGGGTGCAGCAGACTCTGCAGCAGACTCTAAAGAAAGGACTTTTAATTATTGGCAAAGAGCGCCTCTTTGTGTGCTTTTTGTCTAATGTAAATGCTTGTTTATTAGCACTCCAGCTGCAAATTATATATATATGTACATATATCTACACATATATATATACATATATATATATATACATATATACATATATATATTATTTATATATTTATGTATATGTACATGCATCTATATGTATACATATGTATGTGTGAGCATATATGTATATATATATATATCCATATATATATATATATATGTATATGCATATATATATACAATATATATATATATATATATATATATATAGATGTATATATCTACACATATATATATATGTCTATATATATTATGTATGCATTTATGTGCACAAATGGACATTTATGCATATAAGTAAATGTGCTTGGGGCAGCGAGATATGCATGCATGCACTAGCCATATATGTATACATCTCTTGGCCAGACAAATGTGCACAAAAGGGTTCTATTTTTGTACCATTTGTCTTTGTCTAATTCCCTTTTTTTGGCGAAGTTTTCCCAAGGGGCCCCTCAAAGAAAGCCAGCTGCTGCAGCACTTGTGCGTGGGGGGGCCCCCGGGTCTGCTTCGGGGGGCCCTAAAAAGGCACAAATACCCAAAGGCAAGACTATGGGGGCCCCCAGGGGGCCCCTGGGGGGCCCCCCAAGTCTGCGCCTAGCAGGGCCTGGGTAGCAGGCAGCCCCGGGGAAGTCAGCCTTGAGGAGCCTTGCAGCGGCAGCAGCAGCAGCAGCAGCTGCTGCTGCTGCAGCTGCTGCTGCAGCTTGGCCCTGTGCGGAGCTGGGCTCGACGCCGTGGCCTTGAGGCTAGACACGCTGCTGCAGCAAGGAGGCGAAAAGCGCGCCTTCCGGGGCCCTGCCTGGCTCCAACTAGTGCTGGATTCTTCATTAAATAGGAAGAATCTGATTAAAATATAAATTAAAGGAATTAAATTAATTGTAATATGCAAACAGACACTCCACTGGGCTGCGCTGAGAGCTGCTGCTGCCCGCCGCCCCGTGGGCACCGCAGCAGTCGGCGCCCCACGCAGCTGCAGCAAACCCAGAAAGCAGCAGGAAATGAGACATTGTTTTAGACTTGTTTGTGTCTTGAAGGACACAATTTAACATTATTAACAAGAACATAAGGCCAATTGGTGGAATCCGCGGCGATCTCAGCGGATGATCTAAGCTTCCGCAGCAGCAGCAGCAGCAGCAGCAGCAACAGCAACGGCAACTGCAGCAGCAGCACGCGCGGGAAAGGGAGTCCGCGGGCGACGACCCCAACGGGAATCAAAAAGAAGGAAGTTTCGTTTTATTTTAAGAGAATCTCTTGTCTCTTGCTGCGTCGCCGAGTGCCTCGAAGCAGCAACGGCAGCAACAGCAGCAGCAGCAGCAGCAGCAGCAGCAGCAGCAGTTCTGACTGAGTTCTTCAGCCCCGTACACGTGGCCATTGACTCCCATTCCTACTGCTGGTTTCATCGGAGAGTCTTCGAAGCGGCAGTAGCTTGAGAGTAGCGGCAGCAGCGGGCAGCAACAGCAGCAGCAGCAGCAGCAGCAGCAGCAGCAAGTTGCTGCGCCAAGCCCTTCTTTGCTTTCCTCTGCACGGCCGCCCCACCCTTAAAGAAAGGATCCTGAGGCTTGCTGCTGGTGTCTAGTTCTGTGTATGCTGCTCGAGCACAGTTGAAGCAAGAGCAGCAGCAGCAGCAGCAGCAGCAGCAGCAACAGCACAGGCGAAACGCCCGCTGCAGCACGAAAGAGCAGCTCCTCTGCTGCTGCAGCAAAAGGGGCACTGACGCATGGAGGGCGCTGCTGCTGTGGGCATGGGGGGCCCCTTCCCCCACCTTTCGGGTGCTGCTGAGGCCCCTGCTTTGTTCTACAGGCAGCGCAGCACGGAGGCTGCTGCTGCTGCTGCTGCTGCTGCTGACTCGCCGCGGCACCTGCAGCAGCAGGACAGCGAGGGCCGCAGGGCGTCGCCCCCGCCGCAGCAGCACCTGCAGCAGCAGCAGCAGCAGCAGCAGCAGCAGCAGCAGCGCGCTCCGCCCCCGCAGCACGGCCGCGAAGAAGCCGGCGCCTCGGCCCCCCCCTCCCAGATGAACATAAACCACCGGCCGCAGCAGCAGCAGCAGCAGCCAGAGCTGCAGCAGCAGCAGCAGCAGCAGCAGCAGCAGCAGCAGCAGCAGCAGCAAGGGGCCCGCAGGGGGCCCCCCAGCGAGGAGGAGCGGCTGCGAGTGCGGGAGAAGTACCGGCAGCGGCTGATGGAAAGAAAGTTGGAAATTTATCAAAGAGCTCTTGAAGAAGTTATTGAAAGGGAGAAGCAAAATGCGCAAACCAAACTCCTCTTCAAGCTCCACCTCCCCACCAGGGTCAGCTGCTGCTGCTGCTGCTGCTGCTGCTGCTGCTGCTGCTGATGGGGTGCTGCTGCTGCTGCTGATGGGGTGCTGCTGCTGCTGCTGCTGCTGTTGGGGTGCTTTTGCTGCTGCTGCTGATGGGGTGCTGTTGCTGCTGCTGCTGCTGCTGCCTCCAGTGTGGCGGGGAAGCGGGCGCGCTGACGGTGAGACGCGGGCCTGGCTGCCTGACGCACAGCAGCAGCAGCAACAGCAGCAGCAGCAGCAGCAGCAGCAGCAGCAACACGTCAGATGTGCTGCAGAGGGCCTCAGCTGCCCTTGCTGCTGCTGCTGCAGCTGCTGCTGCTGCTGCTGCTGCCCCCAGTAGTGCCTGCAGATTTGAAGGCTGCGTTGCTGTGTGTGCGTGTGCTGCGGTGTACGTACACCTCAGATGTGTGTGCGTGTGCTGCGGTGTACGTACACCTCAGAGTGTCTGCAGAATGTTTTAATTTGCATTTCTGGGGAATTAAATAAAATGAAATTCAGAATTAGAAATATAAATAAAACTATTTTAAAAATGTCTTCATCAATATATTTATTTATATTTATAAAATATACATTCCTTACTATTCATGCCCAACGCATGCAAATGCATGCGCTGCTGCGCGTATTCGCATTTGCTTATATTTTATTTTTATTATTTATTTATTTATTTATTTATTTATTTATTTATTTATTTATTTATTTATTTATTTTCCACTGTGGCCCTTTTCGATACATGTCGAGAGCCTTGCTGCTGCTCTGCAGCAGCAAGCGTGCACCTGCTGCTGCTGCTGCTGCTGCTGCTGCTGCTGCAGTTCGGCGAAGACGTCTTCATTGTGGGCAGCGACGCCTCGCTGGGCTGCTGGGCTGTTGAGAGAGCAGCGCCGCTGCAGTGGAGAGAAGGCAACGTGTGGACTGCGGCGCTCACGCTGCCCAACGGTCTGCTGCTGCTGTTGCTGCTGCTGCTGCTGCTGCTGCTGCTGCTGCTGCTGCTGCTGCTGCTGCTGCTGCTGCTGCTGCTGCTGCTGCTGCTGCTGC